CACATTCTTCACTAGAGTAATAAGAACCCAAGCTCAAAAAACACTGTGAGATGATGTGTCTCTTATCAGTTTTCAAAATAAGTAAGTGCACAGTTCTCTCCATTAAATCTACAATGAGTTCTTTCCTGCTGATTCAAAGTACCTGGAAGAGGTGGAACAGCAAACGTTTCCTAGGAATTCCTACAGTGGCGCCTATATTATAGATGCATTAAATAGAGCAAAATACCTTTGGTTTATCATTTTTCCTTTAAGCTTCAACTATGGATTACATTTCTTCCAAGACCTGTATTTTTTCTTAGTAACTGTAATGCTTGTATATCAATTTACAATTTTAGCCGCTCTCCTAAGGAACTGAAGTTTCTGTGATAACACAGTCTCTCTCTCCAGTTGTGTATCTGCCCTGGTAACTGTGCTACCTGCTAGCCAATTCAAACTGAGTTTGAAGGAGATTATAGAAATCTTAACATGAAATATGTCCCAGTGTTTTTTTTTTGGTTTTTTTTTTTTTTTTTTTAATATCAATAACTGGAGATAAGAAAGATATCTGAATTACTGCCACAGAGAAAAAGGCAGGCATAAGTCAGTTGTATGAAAGTCTGTTTGGTAGCAGTCAGCCAGTCTTCATGCATGAATACAACTGGCCATAGCACATTGACAACATGAAAGAATAGAGTAACTGAGGTTACTACTGAGGTTACTGGGGAGGCAGAAGAGGCCATAAATCTGTAAGAAACCCAAACAGTTTTTCTGCTCGCTAAAGAATGTACTGGTTTTATTTGTGTTGTGCACCTCTACCTGCCATACTGTAACTGCTGGTGGAACTTAACTTGGCCCCACACAGGAAATTTTTGCAATTTTCAAATTTGAATTGATAGTAGTTATTATAATTAATTAATAATTATACAATAATTAATTTATAATAGTTATCAGCACTAGATTTTATGCTTGGAAATTTTTCTCCTTTTGTCATCCTAAGTCTTGCTTTTCTTTAAAGAAACAACAAAGAAAAATGTAAAATTACTTATTTGTATGGCTCATTAATGGATTGAGGCGTTCTTGATCACTTCATACCTTGGGCTGGAGATCTGTGTGACTTTTTAAGGGATATAGGCTTTGGGTTGCTGACTTTCAATCTGTTTTTGATCTGAAAATCTGTGAATTTTTGATAGCTGTAGTGAGGAATTTATGCTTACTGATGATGGGTTTGTTTTTATCACTTGACTTAAAGGCTGTTAGAACCAGCTTATGGATCTCCAGAAGTCTGTGCACAAAATTCTGCAAATCTGTGCTTACATCAGCAGCTGGTATTAGGGAACCACAGATCACCTTACTGAGTAAGATGGCAGGGGCAGTGTTACCTGGGAGCTCTGAGCAGGACTGCTGTAGTCCTTAATATTGTTTGCCTTTATTTTTGTTCTTTATCTCTAAATTCCTAGCTGTATTCCTTGAATAGCTCATCCCTTCTTGTTTATCTATTGCTATCCAAAAAGTGTTTGAAGAAATGTCAGAAATTTCAACAACAGACAAGTCTGGTGTAGGAGAAAGTGCTGGAGTAAAACAGCAAGAAGAACTGGGTCTCAAGGAAAGAAAAAAAAAAAAACAACATAGTCGGGCTCCTTGTTGTAGTTAATGGCTGATGAGGCATTTGCTCCTCACTGTAGGCAAAGTGTTTGGAAGAGATTTGTTGCAGTGGGGCTCTGGCAGCTGTAGCTAGCAGGACTGCATGGAAGTAACCAGCAGGGCAGCAGAGCCCGTGGTGGACAAACATTGGGCAGTGTGTCTGCAGGGCAGTGCAGGCAGGGGAAGCTCTGTCATGGGGCAGACAGCAGCTGAAATTGTCTCCACAAAATCTGCCAGCAGCAATGCTATTTTGGCTGCTGTCAGTCCGCAGGCTGTTGTCAGGTGGACTGGTGCTGTGGCTGGCAGGTGAGCGTACCTGGAGAGAAAGTGCAAAGGACACAAATATTCCTCATGCATGTCCTTGGGGAAACTGGAGTGCAACCTGGAAGCCAGCATCCTCCAACTTGGCCTCAATAGAGTGCACAAGTTTGAATAAGTAAATCCCATTCCCTGAGGAAATGCTCAAGTCTTTGTGTGAAGCTTTGTGTCAGCAGAGAAAGCTATTGGAGGCAAAAGTAATGCTGAATAATTTCCTTGTTCATCCAAGTTCAATAAACTCCTTTGTGTACAATTATTGCCTTTATTCAAAATAAACATCTCTGACAATGAGACAGGTTACTGGATACTAATCTACTTTCTTCAGTGGTTCCTTAGCAACCACAGCTGTGAATTAGTTGCCAAGCGGCCTGGTTCAATGCTTTGCAATGAAGCAAGCAGAGGGGAAAAAAACATAAAAAAAAGGTGCAAGACTGAATGTGAAGTTCAGTGAAGACTAATAAGCAAATATTTGTGGCTTCTTTTTAAGGTCATCAGCCATTAGTTTTTCTATCTTTTTCCCAAAAAAATACACATATTTGTGATTGAAATCTTCAGTGTGGTCTCCTGGCAGGGAGTGCAAGGTCATGCTGGTGATGCTGGGCTGTGAGCTTCCCCTGTACAGGCTGGGCTGGCAACCTGGACAGGGAGTTGGGACACAGAGCACCCTCTGAGATGTTAAATGAGGCATGCTGAAGGTGCCACCAGAGGTTATTGATGTTTTCTCTGTACTGGTGAAGGGCAGCATCTGTATGATGATCAATGACAAATATAGGCTGGAAACAAAAGCCCTACCTTTATTTGCAGTGAAAAGGTCTCTTCTACATCCATCTCTCCTCCTGACTGGAACAGAGGTTGTATTTCATGCAGGTAAAGGAAAGAGATGCAGATGGGGATCAAAATATGGGGAGGAGTAGACAGGAGAATAACCTGGGCTGAGAATCTGTGGGGTTAAATTGGGAGGCTTCACAAAAAGAAAGAAGGTGTAAAAGGGTTGCTGGCCACTGATAGGATTTTGATACCTCCGCTTAGACCACTCCTGCTGAGCAGAAGAAGTGCCATGAGAAAACACTTTGTGGCTTCAGGATGGGCAATCAGGGCTTTTCCTGCTGATGAGGGGCCTTGGCAGGAGCCTTGAGGCAGGGTGGGCAGTATCTCTAACCACACTGGTCCCAGGGGATCACATGGACATGCTTGGTACAGCTGAGAACCAGGACCACCAAGAACTGGGAAAGCTGTTGGGGTGCTGACAATCCATCCTCATCTGTGGGGGCCAGCCGTATGGCACACTAATATCATATGTCTGAGGTCTGGGTCTTAACATAAATTGGTTTATGTCAATTTCTTCCTCAGGGCATTAGGCTCCACAGTCCAGATGGCAGAGTGCCCTTGGTACAGAAACCATATGGTAGTATACAGGAGAGGTTCAGGAGGAGAGAAGAAATACATTGTGATGTACATTTCTCATAACAATAGGGTAAATTACATTTATGTCATCATTACTTGATGGCACAAATGACACTAAAATCATGTGTGGGCCTAATTAATGATGACAAAACATAGGTACAGCACACAAAGACTGCAAAAATTAGGGTGCCTCACAAGATTTAAATTAGATATGAATTTTAATAATTTAAAATCCAAAGGCTTTAACAAGTCAAAGATTTTTAAAGTTTTTGTGGCAGGGCACAGTACCAGAAACCCAGGAGTAAGCAGTATTATTGCAATGTGCAGCACTTTGAGAATTGTCAAGTCTTGGAGACCTGCAGTATTAGACCTGAGCAGCATTGGGAACAGCAAAGTCTCCGTGGTTGCTCAGAGGCAGGAGGAGTGTGAGTCTGTCTGCTGGGAATGAGGGGCCTCAGGAAGCAGGGGAGGAATGGCCTCAGAATCTGTCAGATCAGTACTGTATTTTTCTTTTCCTGTCCTAAACTCCCAGACATTGAATACAGTGTTAAAAACTCACTATGCAAAATGTGTTTTTATTTTACACTGCCCCCCCCATTCCCCATCCCCCAAAAAAAGAGGCATTTTTGTTATCTGACCTCACCAGAGCTGCATCCTTTCACTGCTGCTGCTGCTTTTTAATGATCATTTAAAAATGATTAACAATGCCTGGAGCCATGACAGCCTGACTTCCTGTGCTGAACTGCATGTCTGGATTTGCAGGAGGGAGTTCCTGACAAGAGAGTTTCCTATAAAACAAGGACACTTGGGTCATTATTGAGGAAAAATAACTGCATGCAAGAGGTAAAAGTCACAGGCTTGTACAGATGCTCTGGCAGAGATATTTTTTGCTTGTTTAGGGTTTCTTTTTTTAGCACCGGAAACACATTTGTTTGCAATTCCTAAAGGCATTGGACCAACAGAATGACTGGCTGTTACTGGCTGCATGAATCAAATCTTCAGTTCTATCTTCTTTAAAAAAAAAAAAGCTAAGCTATGGGAAAGTCTTCTTTAGGATCAGGTGGGATTACTGAAAAATTTCACACAGGGAGAAGTATGACAGAAGTTCACTTACACCATGGGGAAGTGGAGACTCTGCAGGGTTTAGTTTCTGAAATTGTCCTCAGTATGTGGTTATCTACTGTCTCAAAAACAAAAACTCCAGTGTTTGCTCTCTGATCCTACAAGTAGAGACCCAGTTTTCAACTGATTGCAGGACTCCTGCACTGTCTGCCTCTCTTGTGGTCCCTGCTTATGTCAAGGTCCTTAAAGCTGATTTCAAGGACTATGTTATGGTTTGGTCATCTAGGTTTGATTCTAAATGAATTTACTCATCTAGAAAAGGAATTTTATTTTGCAGGAAAAAAAATTCATATGTATAGAAGGGAAAGAGGAGGACATGGAATTACAGCACATTTTTGGACACTTTTAACTCTCCTCCCTAGATTACATTTTCTTTCCTCTGCTGGGGTACTAGACAATGGAGAACTTAATACTCACCTGCCTGTAGGAACACAGGTGCAATTTTATCAGGCACTATCTATTGGGTGTACCAGGATGATAAAGGAAGTTATTTCTGAACAGGACAGTTATTTATGTAAAATCCTATTTTTTTTCAGGATGGCAGACCAGATGGAAGGAAGAAGACCTTCCTTCTTGATTCCAAGGAAACAAGCTCATGAAGACCGTTCAGATCTGGCAGTAGAAGTGGTACTGCCATTCTGGGGTTCAGTCATCCACATGAGCCTCTGGAGACACAAGAGGAGTAGCACATCTGGCTAGATTGTACCACTTGGTAAGTCCATGGGTCCCCTTTAAGTTTCTTCTTCATCTCCACCAAGATCATAGAATCAGAATAATTTAGAAAAGACCCATTGAATCCAACCATATGTCTAACACTGAGAAGTTTACCACTAAGTCATGTATCTATATGCCATGTTTACAGATCTTTTAAATTCCTTCAGGTATTTATTCACAGATTCACAGAATCTTAGAATGGTTAAAGCTGGAAGGGATCACTGCAAGTCTGTCTTATCACTGGAGGTTATCTAGTCCAATCGCCCTGTTCAGGCAGGATCCCCCAGTACTCAGGATTGTATCCAAATGGTTCTTGAGGGAAGGAGACTCCACACCCTCTCTGTGCAATCCAGCACTTGGTGACCCACACAGCAAAGAAGTTCTTCCTCCAATTCAGGGGGAAGTTCTTATGCATCAGTTTCTACCCATTGCCTCTTGTCCCATTCCTTGGCACCACTAAGAAGAGCCTGGATGCATTCTCTTGATACCCTCCCTTGAGGTACTTACATAGATTGATACAATCCCCTCTCAGTCATCTCTTCTTGAAGCTAAAAAAGTCCTGCTCTCTCAGCCTTCACTAGTAAGAGTGATGTTCCAACCCATTAATCCTTTTGGTTACCCTCTGCTGAACTCCCTCCAGCAGCTCCATGTCTCTCTCATCCTGAGGAGCCCAGAACTCTACACAGCACTCCAGGTGAGGCCTCAGCAGGGCTAGGGAAAGGGTCAGGATCACCTCTCTCAAACCATTTCCCAAGGCAGTGTGGTGGTTTGACCCTGGCTGGATGCCAGGTACCACAAAAGCCACTTTGTCCTCAGCTGGACAGGGGAGAGAGATTATAGTGAAAGACTCATGAATTGAGATAAGGACACATAGAGGTCACTCACAGATTACTGTCATGGGCAAAACTTGAGAAAATTAATAGAATTTATTACCAGTCAAAATCACAGTAGGATAAGAAGAAATAAAACAAATATAAAAACCACCTTCCCCCGACTTCTCCCTCTTTTCCAGGCTTAGCTTTATTCACTATTCTCTACCATCTCCCACAAAGTGGTCCAGAGAGATGGGATGCTGTTTTTCCATGACTTGCTGTCCTTCAGGAACAGTCTTCTCCAGCTTCAGATGCCCACAGGGTCACAAGTCTGGCCAGCAAATCTGGTCTAGTGTGGGCTTCTCTCTCCACAGGGCCACGGGTCTTGCCAGGGCCTGCTCTTGTGTGGGCTTCCCACAGGATCACAGCCTCCTCTGAGCATCCACCTGCTCTGGTGTGGGGTTCTGCACAGGCTGCAGGTGGATCTCTGCTCCACCATGGAGCTCTGTGAGGCACAGCTGCTTCACCATGGTCTGCACCAAGGGCTGCAGGGGAACCTCAACTCTGGTACCTCCTGTCCCTCCTTCTCCACTGACTTCAGCGTGCAGAGCTGCTTCACTCACATGTTCTCACTCCTTTCTTCTCTGCCGGTAATTGCTTCTGCCCAATATTTTTCTCCACTTTTTAAACATGTTATCCTAGAGGTGTTACTGCCATCACTGATGGGCTCAACCCTGCCCAGTGGCAATGTCCATCCTGGAGCTGGCTGAGATGGGCTCTGTCAGACGTGGGAGAAACTTCTGTCAGCTTCTCACGGAAATCACCCCTGCAGCCATTGCTGCCTCACAACCAACACCTTGTCACACAAACTCAATGCATTCCATCCCTCACCTCTGTGATTCACGTGTTCAAGAAAGAGCATTTAAATCCACATACATCACACAAACTTTGATCACATCAACAAAGAAAGAGAATTTGCACTCATGAAAATCAAAATAATATTGTCACTGCACCATGGAGAACATCTTCAATCTGAATTAAAACAGAGGAGAAATGGTGTGGAAGGCTTGCTGGGGCAACATGCTGCGTGTATAAAAACAAGTGTGAAATGCTTCAGTAAGACAGAACAGAAGTCAGGCTTGCCGAAGCTCTTATTGACAGAAATTCTTATTGAATTCACCTAAAGCAACGAAACAGGCAAAGAGATTATGGAATGGATGATCCAGAATTGAAACATGCAACATAATAAAGGTTTGTATTAATTTTATTTAATATTATTAGTCTGGAGTAGATGAAAATTACTGGGTTTAAAATAAAACTGGTAGCATCTGTCAAAATGCACAATGGTCACCAATATATTCGGAGCAACAAGTATCTGCAGTAAACTGGGAATCGTGTTTTGGAAACCATTACACATCATTCATGTGTAATGAATGCAAAGGCGTTTTACATGAGAAAGGCAACTTTCTTATGCAAAATCAATTTGTTGGTGACAAAACTTTAAAAAACCTACTACTAAAGCTGGAAATGGAAAACAGCCAATTTGGCAGAAACAGATCTCCTGACAGGTTTCAGTAGAATATTTTTACAGTTTAGACTGAACATATCAGTATAAACTATGAATCAGTCACAATTTCCCTAACCTTTAATTTTGAACTGAAGCTCCATCACAAACATCTTTCAACTGCATATTTAAGTTGCTGCTGGATTTAAGCTCACCTACAAGATTAGAAAAGCCAATAGTCTTCTTCATTATTTAATTGCACTGGGTATTTCTTTTTTATCAATAAATAGACAAAACATGTGCATTATCATACAAAAGAAAGTTTTTCTCACCAAACAAGGAAGTGTCACCATGATAAATATAATAGCCACTGCAAAACTGCCCTTCCATAGAGATCATTGTAGATAAATAAAGTTTATGAATATAAGAGTCTTGAAAACATCATTCCATTTTCCCTACTGATACCAACAGCTGAAACTTCTGACTTTGGCTCACTGATGATACAGATGTCATTCTATAACTTCCTCTCTTTTTCTGAAGTATTTCATAGCTTAGATAACAGCAGCTGAAGCTCACCTGTGTGGCCTGCAGCCAGCACAAGTAAGGGGAGCTGGCCAAAAAGGAAATGTTCCCTGTTATTGTATGCACCTGGTAAATGAATTCCCAGGAGATAAATATTAGAAATTGAGCTGGTTTGGAATTTCCCTATGAAAGTTTTTCTTTTTTAGATCAAACAACCTTTTTTGAGACCAAAACTTAGTATGAAGTTACATCCCCCTGTTGACAGGCAAGATATCTGTAAGAGAAATTCATTTTTCTTACATGCATGTAGCACATGAACCTTCTTCTCCCACAACCCATTTGTGGCTTGATTACAAGACTATAATGTATTTGGTATTGACATTGCTGCTGCAGTGCCTGCCAGAGGTGTTCCATTTTGTAAAAATACAATTCTTCTGGATGGAGGACTTGATCTTTCTCAATCTGTATAACTGCTGTTGAATAATTTTCCCCATTCCAGTGAACACCATCTCCGTTTAAAAAAAAAAATATTTAAATCACAACCTGTTTCCAATGGTCTTGGCTTCTTTCCAAAAACAGCAGAGAAATTGGACTTGCTCACAGGCTTCATTCACTGACTTTCAGCCACAGGACATGGGAACCATTTCACAAGCATTCAAAATTTAACTGCAGAGCATTAAGCTGATGGCTGAGATAGCCTGATGACAATGCCTTTCAGCAGTTTGTAGCAGCAACCCACAGCATGCATGTAGCGTTTCTCTGAAAAGTTAATGAGGTACCATCTATTCTTTCTTTTAAGAGTCACCTGTGCCCTCTTTGTGGTATGTTTTATCCTACTAGCTAGACAGAGTAAGTGCTAGGCCATATGGTAAGCACAAAGAGACATGAAGTTAGTCCTGACGAGGTACAAAGGCTGTCTGAGTTCAGGGAGTGAGGTCCAAGGAGAAGAGGATTAGAGTGAAGGGCCATTACTTCCAGGCAGATGGCCTGGGACTACCACGGCCCAGGAGATGGGGGGCTGGGAGGAGAAAGTGTACAGCAGGGAGCAGGTCACAGATTTTGTGTGGAACTGATCCTCACCTGCTTTTAAGAGAAATTCCATTCCTGCGGCAAAGGTACCATACTCCAGTGGGCACTGATAATCCTTTGATCCTGCAGCCCGGACACTGACAAACTTGGATGCCTGCATCCTCTTTGTGGTAATTTTTGTTCTGAATGCATGTCTGAGATCAATAAATTTTACCTCCTTTGTCTGTGAATTTTGCCTGAGCAGATTTTTCTCATTTTTTCAACTTTTCTCTGATTGATCCATATTGGAGATGTTTCTCCTGAGAGAATCAGAAAATGCAGAAAGGTGTGAAATATGAAGAGTTAGCAGAAAATGCCAAACACTTTCCACTTTGCAGACTGACAATTTCTGGAGATTTGTATTGCATATTAACATTTGCTTTGAATGTTTTACCAAAGTCAGTTAAGAGAAGAAATCAATAATGCTTTTGATATAAAATGTCATTTTGCTTCTGGGCAGAACAGCTGTAACACATACTTTCAGACCAGGGCAAATGGATTATATTTATAGGAGGATATGTGTGCAGTATAGCATATTGTCCTTATTCAACAAATGAAGGTTTTCCCATGAGATATGTAACTGATTCTCAGTGACACTATCACTTCTGCTTATACATCTGTTCTGCTTTCAACTGCAGTATAACTCAATCATTCTGGACAGACCCTCCTTTCAGATATATATTTCCTCTAAACCTATCAAGTCACAGGCACGACACCATCTGAATCTGTGCCAAGGTCTATAATTAATTGGAGACCCACTCTTCCCTCCCTAATCAGAGCCTTGGCCACTAAAGGTCCGTCATCATCTTCCCACGGCAGGGCTGAGCTTTGATGGCTGCTCCACCCTGCTGTCACTGGCAGCAACCCGTCAGACAGGGAAGGGTTTTTTGCCCTCTTAATCAGGGATTTTCACTGGAGGTCTTCAAACTTGCATGAGACAGGCCACTGTTTTCAAAGCTGAGTTTTTAAGAACACCTTAATCTTATGCTTGTTCAGTTAGCATTTAGTGCTCCGGAAAGACGTGCACTGCAAAATGATGATCTTCCCAATTGTTCATTGTGAAATTTTCTTAAGTACAAAACTAATACCTGT